TCTTGTTGCTTTTCTTCTTTTGTCTCTCCTCTATCCACTCACCCCAACCGGTCGAGGCAGAAGGCCGCCCACCAAGAGCCGGGGTCTGTCAGAGGTTTCTTCCGTTAAAGGGAGTTTTTCCTCCCCACTGTCGCCAAGTGCTTGCTCAAGGGGGATTTGTTGGGTTTTCCCTCTGTAATAATATTGATAACAGTAAGGTCTAGACCTTACTTTGTAAAGTGTCCTGAGATGACTTTTGTTGTGATTTGGCGCTATACAAATAAAATTTGATTTGATTTGATTTTGACATCTGTTCACAGCGCTTGTTGCGGAGATATTCAACGTGAGACAAAAAAAAACAAACACCTGCAGTTAAACAGCCTGACAATTAAGTTTTTAGACTGAAATGTGGCAAAGTAGAGGAAACTAATTACCGACACTTATGACATGACCAAATTTCAGCTTTACAGTTAAGAGGCTCTTCACCATTTTTAGATTTTGGACTGTCAGTAAGACAAATAAGGACTTTGAACATGTCAGCTAAGGCTGTAACTAATGATTATTTTCATGGTGGATCGTTACTCTTTGTATTTTGACCAGTTTTCTTCTCGGCTGTCTGTGGCTGTGGTTGAGCTGAATTCAGGTTGCGTGTATCAAGTGAGCTTTACTGTCAGCAACGTTGCAGTAGCATCTCCAAATAGTTGCAAAGTCAGTCAGAAAAATGAAAACCTCAAACTACCATCCATCCGTTATCAACTTTTTACAGGGCCAGGTAGGTCAGTTCAGGTGTCCCTCTCCCCAGTTTTCTACTCCTGAGACATTCCCAGGCTTGGTGATGTATATAATGAATCCAGCGTGTTTTGGGTCTACCTGGGGGCCTCCTATTGGTCATACATGCTGGGACAACCTCCAGCAAAAGAACCAAATATTAAAATGTCAAAACTACAATTTAGGCTGTACCATTAGGCATCCGATTGTGGTTTAGCACATTGCGGTCCTTTGTTACTTCTTTCACATCCTGCTCTGAGTTTCGGTGCAAAACAAGCTCTTTTTCTGGGCACCTGCATTTTTGTTGATGAACTGATTCTGCAAGTGTTTTGCAGAAGCACTCAGGAAAGTTTTCAGTCTCTTTGTGATGTGATGTTTTGCGCACATCACCACTGGCCTCCTGTCTGAGTCTGACAGCAACTCTCTCTCTTCCTGCTTCCGACAGATGTTTTTTGCTTTTTTTTTTTTTTTTTGCTGTCAACTTCATCTGCTAATGCCACTTCCCTTTTGTGTGTTCATAGGATGCCAGAGTACAACCCGCCTCACTTATACTGTATAAGCGTGTTACCCTGCTCAGTGTCTGGTCACTAGTTTCTACTACACTGTTAGAAGGTGCACTGAAAGTTAAACTTGTTAATTGCTGTGGTTAAGTGTGTGAGCGGGTGTGTGTCTGGAGATACCTTGTGGTGTCAGCCCTCAGAGACCAACTTGACTGTTGTGGTTATCACCTCTTTTACAGTACATATGCTGTCATTTCTTTCACTTATCTCACCTCTCAATCTGTTTATGAGTCTTTGTGTGTGTGGGGGGTGTACGTTATCACGTGCATGCATGTAAATGATATTTCACAGAAGAAACGAAACAAAAACATAGGAATTTATCTCTTAGGCTGTATAGTAACAGAGGTGACTCATAAACGTGAAGGTGTGTTTGCATTTATTGTCGTCTTTGTTGTAAGTACCTTGGCGTGCTGTCCCAGCCTTAAGAGCAGTTTCACATCCTAGAAACGCTATCCAAACATTTTTTACCGTCATTTTTAAGCCTGTCTTTCAGCTTCCTTCCTCTCTTCCTCCTTTTCCCTTGGAAGATCTATAGCTGACGCTGTGTTAAAAAATGTAAATTGGTTTGTGTGTCTATGTGTTTGCACTATAACTTTGCAATGCCATGAAACACATCTGCTTTCTGTAACAGAGCTAACAATGTCAGGCTTGTGCAAACATGCACAAGGTAAAGATCTGGCATCCACAGTGCTGATCAGGCCTGCTGGTCAACTCACAGCCGTCATGTTAATGCTGCTGAAATGAAATTAAAATCTAAGTAACAGCACAGAAGTGAAGATACAAGGGCTCTGCTATCTCTACACTGGATATGAGGAAGTATGTATGGGCTGTCAGGAGGCGTCTTTTTTCTGTGTGCTGGTGTCACAAGAGACGTTGCGTGCGTCTTCTGCTTGATTAGTTTGGAGTGTTTATTTATGGGGTGAAGTTGCAGTTCTCCCAGTTATTTGTTTACACTTTGTCTGCATAGAAACCAAAATGTTTCCTGACTGTGTGCTCTTTGCCTCTTGTCCTGCCTGACTTCACACACACAAACTTCCTGAGAGAGAAAGGCAGTGTGACAGTTGAGGCAAGTTTGTAAATGTTTATGAAAGCTCCTCTCTGCCAAGGGAGATTTTTTTTTTTAATTTACTTATTTTTCTGAGCAAAAGGCCTCTTTATTGTTAGACTGTTGCTTTCTAGACATTTCTAACCAGTACTTTGCTGCTAGTACCACTCTGGGTAAAAGAGTTCCATCTACAACATAAGTATTCGGTAGTCTGATATTAATTTCATGATCTTGTTTGTTTCTAATCCGAATGCTTCAGAATATCTGCAGTCTGATGTTGTGTCTCTGTTTCCACAGTGGAGCCTCCAACAAACGTGACACTGCACTGCCGCAGCAAGCACAACCTCCTGACATGGAGTTACGACCAGCTCATGCCAGGGCTAAGATTCAAAGTCTTTATCGGCTCAACAAGTGGATTAAATGGGTTTGTCTTTTTCTTATACACACTGTACATGAATATTTGAGTTTGCCTGTTTTAAACTGTATTTTAAGATGAACTCTGCTTTAATCTGTACAAAGAAACAGTAGGCACTCATGTGACACTTGCTACGTGTGGTAACACAGGAACAGGTCTCGGTTCTAAATAGGCAGTATGTAGTTATCACCAGTTTTTGAGAGCGCAGGCTTTGCTGCAAACTGTGTGCAGTCTGATGCAGCTGGGCGCAATGTGGGAGAGAGGCTGAGTACATTGTTTACAGGAGGAGTGCAGAATCAGCAAGCGGAGTCGAGGCAGATGTTACCATTGACCAGTCGTGACCACTCCTCTCATCCCCTTCAGAAACAGCAACGTGAAACAGGCTGAGGTCTCTGAAAGAGGAAAATAAAACACCTGAACATTAAAAATATTCACAGCACCTCAAATATTAAAATACACCGCCCCAAATATGCAGGGAACAGAATGAACATGCAGATGCAGATGTAATAAATAGAGCTGTCCATGGGTTTGCTTAAAAACTTTGTTTGCCCTAATAGTGGCTTTGCTGTGTAAGTGCATAATTAACATTTACTGTGTGAGTGTACTCATGGAAAAAAAATCTGATTTCTTGTGAGTTACAGATATTCAACAACGTATTCATTATTGCCTCCTAACAATTTACTGTGTGGTGTAAAGCATTAAGTCTACACCCCCATTTTGTAACACAGACCTTTTGTTTTTAACTTGTAGTCTTCAGGTCCAAGCTGATATAATGAAATGATGCTCATGACAGTATTTTATCTTGACAAAACTTAATAAAGTTTCTCTTGTCTTATCCCCAGTCATCCCTCGGAGCTTTGGGTGGATCCGCCAGCTTTACAAGCTGATGTCTCATTTCTGTCTAAATCGGACAACGACTACTATCTAGAAGTGTTTGCTGTGGTTGGTAAGAATGAGTCTGAGCCCAGCCCCCAGGATGGAATCAGTTTCAGCTATTTCAAGGACAGTCTTTCAGCTCAGAAATGTGAGTAGTGATGTCAGTATTCACAGAGAACATTTAGATTTTTAGTCGGATAAAACAGAATTGATGAGTTCACACGCAGAAAATAGCCAAGGCTAGAAAGAAGGTGAAGTTAATCACAAAGTCAGTCAGTTGTATTTGTGGTCAGTAACAAAAGCTGAAAATGTTGAGATTTCACTGGATAATTGGAGAGTTTTGTCTGTTGTTGGTGCCACAGCAAAGTGCAAGGGCTCACAAAAGTTAGTTGGATTGATTTTTCTACAAACATTGAATATCAGGTCAGAAATTCATGGCCATTTGTTCTGTACTTCTCTGGATCAAAGCGGTGCACCATTGTGAGTGTAGGAATGGCTGTTGTGTATGTGAGAGCCCCCTTGTGGTGAAAGTGAGTGACTGCAGTGAAGATGAGTGGAGCTAGAAAGTGCAGCAGGAGCACTGGAAAATGGACCTTGGTGGAGGTGCTGTTTTGGCCGTGAGTAGAGCTGTGGTGCAGAGTTTGGTGCTAGCCAGTGTTAACATGGATGTATATGGCAATAACATAACTGTAATATACGCTATAACATAGTAAACCTGGCTTTGTCTGTGGCTTTAATTCCAAGTTACCCAGACTATGAAATGTCAGAGTAAAGGTTGTTGTTATTCTGAACATCTCAGTATGACTCAGTCTCCAACATGATTGTTTCCAGGTTTTGTGGACCTCCCGCCGGTTAACGTCACTGCCCCAACAAATAAGACTGTCAAGTTCAGCTTTATGCATCCCTCCCTGTACCTCCATATGCTGAAAGCCAGTCCAACTGCAAAACCCAAGAAGAAACGCTATGACTCGCTGAAAAATCTACCTGCATTTGATTACGATGTGGTGATCATCAACGAGGTCAGGAGTGTGCACGGTTCCACATTTTCTTTTAAACCATCTGTAGACTTATGTCAGTTTTCTCATGTACTTATTATGTAGTCACACAATAATAATATTGGTTTAGCAGAAGCAGGAAATGTCTCTCGTAATGTAGCATTATTATTTATTAATAGCAGTACAGCATCACTATTAATAGCAGTACAGCATCACTTTATACACACTTGCTGTGTAACATGTATGAATTGCTGTTGCTATCTGTGCAGAGGCATCACTATGGCTTTAGCTGTGAGGAGAGTGTGTGTGAGAAGATGCTTCCAGTGGTTGCTCCACAGGAACAATACTGTCTGGAAATCAAGGGAGAGCTGGAGAAAATGTTAGTTAAAGGCACGCAGAAATACTGTGCTAAGCAATATGAAGAAATTCCATCTCTATCAAACAGTTAAGTAAAATAACTTTTTAATTTATTTAGTTTGTTTTTCCTTTTTCCAATCAAGCTTAAGATACAGTTAGCTCTGAAGATTTATGCTCTGTTGAAGTTGCCGTGACTGGAAATATTGATAGCCTCCTGACAAGTCTATGCAAACTATTGAGTCTACACCAAAGATCCTTCTCTATAAGTGCAAGGGATTAGGTGCCAACGCCCGAGTTATAACTTGATGTTTTACACAGTTTAAAAACAATAACAACAAAAGAGCAAGGTACATCACTTCTCTGACTGTTCTTTAAGGTTGATTTGTCCTTGATTATACACGCAACAGTTAAACCACAGCTCCCCAGAATATTCACCACGATTCATCATTTGGCATCTAATAAGCTTTACACATAAATCTGTTTCTCCAACTGGGCGTCCTGTATCTTAGCTGACTGTCTCACCATTATATGAAGCTAACCACCCCCATCCAGTGCAGCCCTGTTGTCTGTGGGCTTCTCGGTCATCCCCTTTTAACCAGCTTCTGTTTGTATTGTGTAGTAATGAAGCAACCCCCTGCCACCTAGGTTGGGAGGAACAAACGACTATATATAATGTTTAATATACTGTATTTATGAAGGCAAGAAACCACAGTGATTTGTAGCTGCCACAGGGTTATTTGTATGGCAGTTTGTCTGCAAGTATATTTATTTCAGCATCTGTTTTGTCTAGACATCGTCATCATCGTGGTCATTGTGACCATTGTGGTGGTCTTGATTGTGCTTGCTTTGGTCTTAGCCATGCTGTACATAAAGAAGACCCGTCCCAAGACCTCTCTGCCACGGAACATAGTACGTTCATCCTACCAGCTCTGACGAGCCTTTTTAATGTTGAATGAACAATTCTCTTGAGTGTCAGCACTAACCTAACATTTCATCTCTGCATCTTAAAGTCAGAAACAAACAACAACCAACATAAGCAGACCCTGCCGCCATTTGAAGAGCACATCAGTGAAGCAGAAGTGGACTCACCTACACCCCTACTGCCGGCCACAAACTATGACTTCACACCTGCTGGGACTCCCACTACTGAGGATGTGTTTCGCATGGCCCTTGGGATCTTCCCAAGGGATGATGTGTGTCACACCGTGGAGGTAGGGCAACCAAATGGTGAAGGACCTGGCTACATGGGAGGCAGGAGTCTGGAGGAGGATGGGACACAAAACCCCAGTGATTACCCGTCTGGGTACGAGAAACGTGAAAAGGTGGTTGAAGTTGCATTAGGGCCAGGTGAACAGGCAGAGGGTTACCGTGGTTGACCGTGGAACCGGCCTCTTCATTAAATGTTTGGCCTTGGGTTGATTGTGGCTCTCTCTTGCAGTCTGCAATTACTCGACATTAAAACCGAAAGCTGTTAGAAATAAATATTAAGAGCAACTTTCAGGGGAGCTGTGTCTACAAGTTTTCATTTGGTTCAGTAGACACCAAATAAAAGCAAAACCAGGAGCTTTGCACCTTAACATCAGTTAGTTTTTACTTAATTTGTCAAGGCAGCACAGCACAAAGCCTTTGTTAAATAAATTCCAACAAAGCAGTTGCAACTAGGGCTACATCATTAGCCTTAAAGCTATGAGCTAAGAGGCTCAAGTGCAGTAATTACCATACTAAATCAGACCCAGAACATTACAGCTCCATCTTTTAATTACTTAATGTCTGATATTTGTTTTCAGTTCTCATGCCTTTTGCTCTAATCACAAGCCTATCATACATAATAAATTGGAATAAGATACATGTATACGCATGATGCATATATAATGTAAGAGCTGAGACATAAGGAAAACCAGCTTTATCTATGTAGCACATTTTATACACAGCTAATTCAAAGTGCTTTAAATAGGCAAAGAAAAACAGTAATGGCATTAAAAATAATCATTAAAACCAGAATAAACTCAGTGTTTGTTCTGAGTTGCAGCACGTTATGTGGTAACTACATCCTGTAATCTTTAATGGGATGGTAGATGAGCCCAGTGATGCCGTACAGAGAGACAGAAAAGAGCACCGCAGTAAAGCAGTTTTCTCTGCAGCCGGCATCTGAACTCTTCTTGCTTTGACTGTTATTCTCTCTCCTGTTAGAAGAAAACCTTCCTCCCACATGTTTGTGCACAATGTAGTGACCCAGCTTTTGTTGTTGTGAAACAGCATCATGAAAACAACTGTATCCTTCATTACTTGCATGTTATTTAAAAATTTTCTCACATTGTAAAGCTGAGAGTGGACTTTGTGGAGCTGAGTTACATTTCATATCTTTTAACATTTCTGCTCATCAGCTCCTTCATCAGATTAACTGCTTGACATTAGGCATATTTACATAGACATCCTGCACTACTGCCGCTCCAGAGAGTTGCCAATATGCCGCCCTTGTGCTGTTCATATAGATCGAGCTAAAGGCGGTAGAATCGTAAGCCAGCCCGTGAATTCACCATTCCCATCTTGAAAAGGCAGTACGTATTGAAAACTATAGATCTTTTCTTTTAAATTTCTGAATCACTGCTCAACCTCTTGGATTGTTTTATTTCGCCTACATGGCAGAATAAACAAAATGAACAAACCAGCTGTGGAGAGAAAGAAGGAAATAAAGGTGTTGTGCTATACTAGACATGAGCAACCATCTTTATTGGACAAAAAGCAACCCAAAGTGTCATGCACTTTAACATTATATGCCATAGCAGCAAGGAGACTCATCACTTTGTCACTGACCAACTTAATTTAGAGAGGTGAGACTATAGTTTGCAGCAGTTTCCTCACGGGGAGCCAAGATGAAGCCTTCAAAGTTGAAGCAGTGAGGTGGTGACGGGGTTAAAGGGGAGATAGTTTAAATACCTTGTAATGAGGATGATTACTGGGTGATGAAGCTCTAGCTCTGTGAGTTAACTGGATAATAAGAGTTAGTGTGATGAGGCCAATGGATTTCTACTGCGATTACTCAGTGATGTACCTGACCTGGCGAGTTTTGAGCTTTTATCACGTATGGAGCATCTGTACACATCTGTTGCATGCATGTGAGCATTTCCATATTCATTCAGTCAAAACGTCTGAATGGCCTCTTGATAATTTTTATTTCAGTGCTTGGATCAGATTAAGATGCTTTAGTTTACAGAAAGGCAGTAGCACCTTAACATTGTAATGAAATATTTTAACGTCTGTACTGTGGTGTTGAAATGAAATATATAGCAAATATATGTGATGTGAGTGACAGCAGATTTGACTCCTAATATGGAGCCATAGGGAGAAGTTTGCTATCTTCATCACCTGCTACTAGATCAGGAGGAGGAGGAGGAGAGAGGGAGAAATAAATAAATGATTCTTTGGAAATAAAATAAAATGATAAATTTTAAACACAATGTATCAAACACTTTAAAATGAGTGTTGTTCTAGAATTATTAACATTAAAAAACAAAAATGAGAGTTAACACAGGATCAGAAGGACATGAAGTGATGATGTTACATTGCACAATGTGTTTGTGCCACTTTTTGAGTGGGATACATAGCACTCGTTTTAATTTCATATGTAACATTTGTTGTATTAAAAAACTGAAGTGGTGTAATATGCAAACTGTTTAGGCACTAAAAGTGAGGTGAGAGCGCTTTTAAATGTAATGCTGTGAATCATTTTTAACTTCATACAAAGTCCAGACAATCGTAAAAACCTAAATCAAATCGGTTTTTACCATGAGCATCTTTTGCCTTACTAGCACTTAGTTTCTCAAGGTAATCGGCAGGTAGGTTGTTCCAAGCATCTTGGAGAACCTTCATCTGTGGATTTAGGCGACTTGCTGTCTTTTCTGTTGTCATGAAATCCCAGACCGAGTCTGTGATATTGAGATCAGGGCTCTGTTGGGGCCACACCATCTGCTGCTGTATGTAGCTGCATATGTGTCACAGATCTAATACATCCCTGATGGTTATTATGTGATGGATCAGAAGTTAAAGTGCCTGGAGTGTTTGCACAGTACTGTATCTGTTTATGTATTATATACTGTCTGGCTGGATATACATATATATACACAGATATCTTTACAATTATGTGCTTTTTAAGTTTTTATGGTCCACCTTTTTCAGTTTGGATGCCGCCACATCAAAATCCTTTACTCTCTGTAAACTACTGTTTTTGTTTATTATTGTATTTCATTTTTTTACCTTTACATCATTTGAATAAAGATTAAAATGCGAGTTTGTGCCTTTTTCTGTTGCTAATAAAATATCTAAATATAAAAAGGGGATGTTATGTGATAGGTTTAAACTGAAGTTCATGTACAACATCCTGTGACCCAAATAGGACAGTCCCAGATTTTATAATCTGTTCAGTGAAGTACTGTAAAATGCTGCCAATTAAGGAAGAGAAGTTGGCACAGTATTTGTGTAGTTAACACCTGTTCTATTACTGTACAGGGCTGAACTACTGTTTATGTCATGACATTAGCTTTTGTCATAGGAAGAAACACACATGACATGATATTTCATGACCTTTGAGCTGTTCCTTCCCCTGAAGCCAATAATTAGAGTGAGGAGGAGGACTTCTTTTGTGTGCGTGTCTTTTGTGTGCGTGTTTGCATAGAAATGTGTTAATCATGTTTCCTTCCCTTTTACCGTGTGTATGTATTTGAACGTGCGTGCGTGGGCTTATGGGGGAGTAGGGGAGACCTTTCCAGTAACAGTTGATAACCGACTTCACTATTAGGTGTGTATGGTTGACTGGTAGAAGAGCTCAGGAATCTGGTAATCTGCAGCAGTCATTCCTGCACACGCGCCCCCTGAAGCAGCTTCTCTGCTGTGTACAAGAGCCACAAGTTGGGAATTACCTTTCTACAGCCAAAGGATCCTTTGGATGTTCAGACACAATCCAAGTTGTATTAATTCTGTAGAACAAGGATGTAAAGGTTTTAGTAACACCTGAGAGAAATAATTTACATAAAGAAGAATAGAAATCTGAATAACTTTGGGTTAGAAACAGCACATTGAGAGCCTCTGTGCCTGAGTCGGATTCCTTGGCTAATGCAGATTCTGAAAGCTCTGAATATGAATTTTACTTTGCACAGCCAGGATTTGGGATAATGTCCCTCAGGACATGTCAATAACTGTAATCTCAGTGGGATATAACTGAGTGAAATATGTCTACAGTACTTCCTAACAGCTAGTTGTTATGCTGTCATTGAGGGGAACCATTTGTTATGTAGCACATTTTCTGTAAGCTGCTGGTGTTTCCAGTAAAAGAACAGTCATCGGCTGCTCCACGCTTGTGCCAGCTTGAAACAGGACAGGACGGTGATTCTGAGAACAAAGAGCTGTTGAGAGAAATGCATCCCCGAGGGACTCGCAGGGCTTCATTTGAACAGGCCCTTTTCCCACAGCCGCACATGTTAGTACATGCATTACAGCAGGGAAAGCACAGGTGCAACTAAGAGAATAAAAACGTAACTATTTCAGTTACAAGGTCACGCTGTTGTGCACTTTGTCATGACTGGGACACCCGAACAGATTCATGTTAATGTCACTAGAAACATCTGTGGTTTTCCTGCTATGACTAGTCAAACTGAGTGCAGTGAAAAGGCATGTTAAAACAGAGTAGTCATGACTCCTATGGCCTTTACACCTCTGTTTAGCTCATTTAGCAAACCTGTCAGTTTAAGGATGAACAAGATGAGCTCGGTTTCAGGTTTGCTCTCAGTGTAGCAGGAGAGCTTTGTGTTTTTTGTTTTAGAGATGTTTAACTTATTGAAAATTAGAGAAAAAAGCATGCAGATCATGTTTTAGATCATTACGTTAATAGAATTAAATACTTTTGCAGCGTAATGTTAATAAAAATGAATGTAGTTGGGGGCATGAATGTCTGAGCTTCTACACTGGGGCATGACAGAAAAAACTTGTCAATGAAAAGATGTTTTATGTACAGTATTTATCCTACTACACCTCTCAGTAGCAGAAACAGTCTCGTTCAGCTACAGAACCTTCTCCCCAGAGAAACCGAGGTCTCGGTGTTACTGTTCTGCCAGTGAAAGTGTCATCATATTTGTTTACCAAAAGCATCCTGTGTCCACTATGATGCGCTGACGTACAGTATCATATCACAGATGAGTCAAGAACACTGGTAAAGTGATCTGTTTTGTAATGAAAACGTCCAAGTTGTACTTCTGTTAAAGACAGACTGAAGTAAATCTGCATCAAGCTGTGTAACGCTGCCTCAGCAGTGTCCTTGTTGGTATTTAAAAAGAGGGAAGTTGAAGGTATTTTAAAAGGAGGCAGTGTTAGCGGCAGCATCAGTCCGGTGTGTTCCACTGTCTTCCACCAACAGCATCATGACCCACCTGCTGCTTGGAGCTGTGCTGCTGGGAAACCTGGGCGTCTGTGTCACAGCACAAGGTAACCTCTGATGTGTTTGAAGACGTGTGGATTAGCGGTGGTGTTGTCTGACTGACTTAATTTGAAAGCAAAACGGGTTTAGTTCTGTCCAGTATCGTCCTAAATCTCTACATTTCTTCTCAGATCACTGTTTGTGTTTTGAACATCGCTGTGTTGTTAAAGCATCATCACTGAGCTGAGTTGACAGATTCACTGCTGCTGTAACAAGATCAGGGAGTGTCTTTTTAAATTACCGCTCCCTGGGAAAAACGGACCAACAGAGCAACAGAAATTAAAAACATTGGATACTGCACAGTCTCGGCCATTTTCATTATTTGAACTTCTTGTGTTATTTACTGAAACACTGTGTCGTGTTGTGTTACACTACAGGATAAACTGTACTGCAGTAGAACAGTGAGAATTAATATAAAGTATTTTGTTAAGCTTATTGTAAATTATTTCTGTCTCTAAAATGATTTCAAAACAAGTATTATATCATTAACCCTTCTTGTTCCACAAGCTGTCTTATATGGCAGCTTCAAATTCAATGAGGTCAGCGCTGACTAAGACATTGTTTTACTTCATTTTAATGAGGTTTTATTTTTTATTTTTTTCATTTGTGAAGCACATTTTGTTTATTCTAGCTGCCGTATGATAAAACACTTAGTATTTTACTAATCAACCAACTACTCAGTCAGTTGTTGCTCTGTGACTTTAACTTTTCCTCCTGTCAGCTCAGAATCTGCTACAGTATGTAATTAACAACTGCCTCCGTTCCAGTGATGCTTGCTCCGCCCGTCCAGGTGAAGTTTGACTCTGTGGACTATAAAACCATCCTGCACTGGACTCCACCCACCAACAGCACCTCCCTGCAGTACTACGTCCAGTGGAAGATGTGAGACATTACACACGCACGCACACATGTAAAGTAGAGTTACACTTAACAGTGCAAACCTTTGCTGGTCCTGGTGGATATTCTGAAGCTGCACAGCACTGTTTAAATAGTTTTTAAAAAGCTCAGCTGCAGCATGAAAATGATCTATACGTTAATGCATCGTTGTAATGATATACGTGATTCAGAATGTGCTATTCTGCTTAATCATTTATGTTTTTTACTGTAAGTACTGTACATTTTGATGTTAATACTTGTTAATTTGACATGAGCAAAATATTATATATGCAGGACTTAAACTGTGGTATTGCTACTTCTACATAAGTAAAGGATCTGAGTACTTCTCCCACCACTGCCAGCAAGATGTGTGACTGTGATTCTTGTTGCACAGAGTGAAATGAACAATTCCCTGTTGATTTCTCTCTGTTTGTGTCTGTCCCTCTCTCTGCTCCCCAGTTATGGTGAGCCTGAGTGGTTGGACGTGGACGGCTGTCAGGGGATCCACAAGCATCACTGTGACCTCACTGCCATGACCTCTGACCCCAGAGAGTGGTACTATGCCAGAGTGCACGCTTCCTCCCTGCCCTCCAGCAAATCAGCCTGGGCCCTCTCGCCCAGGTTCAGCCCACGGTGGGACAGTGAGTACTTCCACAGCTCTGCCTCCTGCTGCTGCTCTTCATCACTGGCTGCGCCCTCTTCT